CTTTCCCTTTTCTTTCATCGTAGGATCGTCCGTAAATCGTAGTCAAATTTTGTTTTATTCCAATTACTCGATACTATTAACTAAGCTTTATTATCATTTATAAGCGAAATTATTATTTGTCAACTATCGGTTAAACTACTATTTTTTATCGGCTAAGATAATATTTATTATTTATCTCTGTAACTGGAACTTCTAATGCCACTGCTACTACAAGTCGGAGTTTATAGCTACACATGTACGTGTTATCAGACGTTAGATACTAGTCGATATTGCCTTTTTTCTTTCAACTTAGATATATCACGTAAGATAATCTAAATGCGTATAATTTCAAATAACGCAAGAAGTTTCCGTTAGTCGAATTATTCATAATTGTCATCATCTTTCTTGTCTTCAATTTATTGTGGCCCATTTACAGTGACAGACAAAAGAAAGTTTAAATGTTAAGTGGTACGAAGAAACACCATAATTTTACGAGAAAACGTTATATTTTACAGCAGCAATGAAATTTTACTTTACTTATCAGTTACTTTTATTATTATACTATAGTCACTATACAATTACAGATACTCATGTCTACCATATATATATACCATTGTGCGTTGAATAAAATAAATTCTAATTAGGAATTTTAAACACTGATTTCTTCTGCAAGGATAAATATAATTGAAGAAATAAAAAGTAGGTGAAACGTGAAAAAAAATATCGTTAACAAATTTGGAATTGGCGATTATGGCATAATTACCGTTTCCTTTTTAAAGACTTTTAAATATACTATATTTATATAATAAATAATTTTCGTTGGAGGATTGAATTTTTCGTTTTTGAAATTATTACAATTGGAAAATTATTATTATTCGTATGTACAAAGCTTCTGCATGACGAATTTTCGATTGTTAAATCTCTTTCACTAAGAAATTACAATTTTAATAAGTTGGAACATCTGTAACTTCGAGATTTCAGCTTTCTTCTTAAAATTCGAGTTATCGAGAATTTAGACAAAATTGCTTCACGAGTAATATATAGATATCCTGCTGGTCATTAAGATATAAGCGTTAGAATACTGATTATGTAAGGAATAATAATGACAAGGCGACGGAAATTTATTAAGCAACTCCAAATAATTTTATCTAAACTTTTGTTCATCCAATATTTTATGTTATAACATATCGTTTTGTTAAATTTACAAATTTTTCTATTAACGTTCGTCGTTTATAAAATTTGCAAATTGTTCCTATATAGTACTCTCATAAACTGTCCTTATCTTTCTTTTACTTAACACATTGTGTACTGGTTTCTTCATAACTATATTTATACCTACAGAAATTTGTTTTATTCTTTTATTGTTTGATATTAGTTTTGGAATTTAATCAAAAATATAGTACATTTTGTTTCAAATATATACTGCGTACTATTTTGTAAAAATATAAAACTAATAAAATGCAAATGTTTAACTAATATACTTAACTGAATTTTTAATTATATATTGTAATAATAAAACATTAAATATATATTTTTAAATACACGAATTAAATGAAATTGAATTAAATTTAGATGAATGATCATGTATTTTTCCGGCCCCCATTTTCTTATTACTGTTGTACACATAAAATGTCAATAAATTTTATCTCCCCACTTTTTAATCTCTTGCAGATGGATGCAAGAAATTATGACATATTATCATTGACTCGAATATCATGCACGTCGAGGTAAAATATAACAGTATTATTTTCACCATTGTTATTAACATATTTTTATTTAAATTTTCTTATTTCTACTAGTTTACCACAACAGATATTCCTCACACTGTAATTCTTATTTGTTAACTGACATCCAAAACCATTATTTCTAAAATTACATTCAAAAACGATAACATTAACGATAAATTCCAATGATAAAGACATTCACTGTCATCTTCCATAATCATTCCTCAAAAATATTAAAAAGAACATTGAAAACGACCAATATATTAAACCTTTCGCCTTTCACAAATATATTAGGTGTCTCAATACATATAATACAACCAACAGCATATAAACGTGATTAACAGTGTACAAGCATCGAATAGGAAACATTCCACATGCACGTCACGAGACGACAAAATTCCAAGAATTACACCGGTAAATATATTAACACCAAACCTACCACGACCAGGCAAATGATCGATGGATGAAGAAAGGAAAGAAAAGGAACCACAGAAAAAAATGGAATAAAAGGAAATATAGAACAATTAATTACATCTATATTAGAAGAAGAATTACACAGTCAAGTGACCAAAGCGTCAACATCGAATTCAGAATTTTAAATCAAATGTTTAAGTTTAATATTAAGAGTTAGGTTTCGAGATAAAAAAAGAAAAGAAGGTTATGAAAGAATGGTATAAGAGGAAATATTAATCATACGTATATTAGAAGAAGAATCACACAGACAAGTGACCAAAGCTACAACATGGAAGTCAAAATTTTTAGCGTTAAGAGTACAATTTTGTGATCAAAAGAGGAAAGAAAAATTTCAAAAAAAAATGGAATAAAAGGAAATATCGAACAATTAATTATACATATATTAGAAAAAAAATCACACAGACAAGTGACCAAAGCTACAACATGGAAGTCATGGAAAACTTTTAGTGTTAGATTCAAGAGTTCAATTTCGAGATCAACGAAGGAAAGAAGAATCTCAGGAAAAAATGGAATAAAAGGAAATATCGAACAATTAATTATACATATATTAGTAAAAAAATCACAAAGACAAGTGACCAAAGCTACAACATGGAAGTCAAAACTTTTAGTGTTAGATTCAAGAGTTCAATTTCGAGATCAAAGAAGGAAAGAAGAATCTCAGGAAAAATTGGAATAAAAGGAAATATCGAACAATTAATTATACATATATTAGAAGAAGAATTACCCAGTCAAGTGAGCAAAGCTACAACATCGAAGTCGGAATTTTAAACGAAAGGTTTAAAAATGGTCGTTTGTGCAGTGATAGGTTCAGTGTTAAAAGTATAATTTCGATATCAAAAAAGGAAAGCAGTATATCAGACAAGAAAATGGTATAGGAGGAAATATCAAACAATTAATCATACATATATTAGAAGAAGAATTACCCAGTGAAGTGAGCAAAACTACAACATCGAAGTCGGAATTTTTAGTGTTAAGAGTTCAATTTCGAAATGAAAGAAGGAAAGAAGAATCTCAGAAAAAATGGCATAAGTGGAAATATCGAACAATTAATCATACCTATATTAGGAGAAGAATTACCTAGTCTAGTGAGCAAAGCTACAACATCGAAGTCGGAATTTGAAACGAAAGGTTTAAAAATGGTCATTTGTGCAGTGATAGGTTCAGTGTTAAGAGTGTAGCTTCAATATGAAGAAAGGAAAACAGTATCTTAGACAAGAAAATAGCATAAGAGGAAATATCAACGTATATTATATATATTATGTATCAACGTATATGTTAATCATACGTATATTAGAAGAAGAATTACCCAGTGAAGTGAGCAAAGCTACAACATCGAAGTCAGAATTTTTAGTGTTAAGAGTTCAATTTCGAAATGAAAAAAGGAAAGAAGAATCTCAGAAGAAATGGCATAAGTGGAAATATCGAACAATTAATCATACCTATATTAGGAGAAGAATTACCTAGTCTAGTGAGCAAAGCTACAACATCGAAGTCAAAATTTTTAGTGTTAGATTCAAGAGTTCAATTTTGAGATCAAAGAAGGAAAGAAGAATCTCAGGAAAAATTGGAATAAAAGGAAATATCGAACAATTAATTATACATATATTAGAAGAAGAATTACCCAGTCAAGTGAGCAAAGCTACAACATCGAAGTCGGAATTTTAAACGAAAGGTTTAAAAATGGTCGTTT